TCTCTCTCTCTCTATGAGACAGACCTGTCTCTCTCTCTCTGTGAGACAGACCTGTCTCTCTCTCTCTATGAGACAGACCTCTCTCTCTCTCTATGAGACAGACCTGTCTCTCTCTCTCTGTGAGACCTTTGAACTGTCACATTTGAACTATTATGATGATTTTTCAGCCCTTTTCTGACTTTATAATGGGTGTGTATTGCGCAGCTTAGAGTGCGTGATGTCACCGCTAGAGTGAAGAGCAGCTTGAGATTCTTGTGAAAAAAAGATTTGTATTTTGCCACCGAGTCCACAATCTTCACTCTTCATGCATCATTTCTGGTAAAAAAGTAGCTAATCTTGTCCTGGTCTAGTCATATGACTGTGGAATTGAACAGATTTACAATTGTGGCTCAACAGCCTGTAATTGAGAGGAAAACCAACTTTCTGCTCCATAGAGACCAATGTTAATTCTTACTCCAAGAACGTCTTCCACAGAACACGGTACCCCACTTCCAGATCGCCACGAAAGCTACATTTTCTACACTACAGACACAATTTTCACATGATCTGTTCATCAAGTCATCCTTCATCTCCAGGTCTAATATTGGAGCAATAGAACCTACGCTTATGGGGGGTTTGAGGATTTGTTTGAGAGGTGTTTCACTAACGTCCTGCTGGTCAGACTCCAGGACTCTGATGTCTCTGATCTTAATGTTTGAATTTCCTTTAAATGCGTTAACGCGATAATAATTGCATCTCTTTGTGGTTGTTCGGCATCTCTTTGCGTCTCTTTGTGGTTGCTTTGCATGTCGTTGTAGTTGTTCTGCGTCTCTTTGAGGTTGTTTTGCATGTCTTTGTAGTTGTTCTGCGTCTCTTTGAGGTTGTTTTGCATGTCTTTAAGACTGGTTTCTCCTTTTTTTAGTTGCTTTGCGTCTATTTTTAAATAGTTTTGTGTGTCTTCGTAGTTGTTTTTCATGTCTTCGTAGTTGTTTTTCATGTCTTCGTGGTTGTCTTGCGTGTCTCTTTTGAGGCCTCTTTCAATAAAGGATCAGCATTTTGACGACGTTGAAACCAATAAAGAAGTTCAGTGAAGGTGGAGACCAACTGTTTTATCAAACTACAGAATCAAACCTAATGTTTATTCTCTCTTTGTCAGAGCTGTTTCTCATTGCTGCTCCACTCAGAGCTGGAGACCATAAATCCCTCAGCACGCTGTGTGTGTGTGTGTGTGTGTGTGTACGTGCGTGTGTGTGTAATGAGACATCAGACTTTCACCCCATGAGTCCACTATTCAATCGTGCATTTTCTTTTTCCAAGTTAATATTTTCTAAAGTAGACATCGTGTCAGAGTCTCAATCAGTCCAAATCAGATCAGCTCATGTTTTTCTTTTTAAAAGACTCCATCTTCTCCTTCGGTATGATTCCCTCTGGTCCTTCTCTCTGTGAATCTAATTTATTACCTTCATAAAGTGAGCGTATCCAATCCAGCTTTGCTTCCTTCCTCCTCCGTCCTCTGGGAGCTGGATTAGCTAATCGGAGCTGTAGCTGTGGAAATGAGGATCGGCCTCATGTGAGGGTTCAACCTGAGACTGTGTTACTGATGCAGGACCACCACAGTGTGATTAAAGGGTCTGTAGTAACGAGGCGCTGATGAGGATCACATTAACTAGTACATGTAAAAGACTTTGTTTAAGGGTTAAAACCCGACCAGGTGTCTGTTATCAGGAAGTAATGCACTTTGAGGAGGCAACTAATCAGAATCCTGTATTCACCCAGATCACTATATAATATATATATAATATATATATAATATATATATACAACCACAAAAAGGTGCAAAACAACCACAAAGAGATACTAAACAACCTCAAAGACATGCAAAGCAACCACAAAGAGACGCAGAACAACTACAAAGACATGCAAAACAACCACAAAGAGACGCAA